TTAAGTTAATTCCTTTAAAGTTGGAAATGAATTTTCCCAAGGTCTTGCTTTTTAGATCGATTTTTTGAATCCTGAAGCTTCCATTCTGTGATTGTATTCAATTCACTGGAATTGTTTTCTTGATAAGAATAAAATATGCATTATAGTCATGTTTAAATACATTTCTACATCTAGAGTATGTCACTGAACTACTTCTATAATATGTTTCTATTTTTAGTAGCTACGTAGTGTTGTACCCACTTTAAAGAGTTTGCATTGTTGACATTATCACCCGCTAAGTTTTATTTCTAAAACTAAAACCTCCCGCACAAAACACCTAAATGCCCTTTATTTATTTCGGTGAATTCGCGTGTAGGTATTTATTTATCTCTTTTTTTATTCTGCACCAGTGCAGCAGACGGAATAAGGGTTGTTTATTTTAAAAACAGACTCCATATTTCACTTCCTAAATAATTTCGAATACTACACGAATACTGTTTTGGCTTCCAGCCGGATGTTGTGCTATTTTGTTTTCGTTCGTGAAGAAGAAAGTTTGCTGATTTATATCCGACAATAAACAGTTACAAATGTCGATTAAAATCTATTTTTCTTTTACTTTTTTTAAAAATAGCCCGTCAATAAAGCTGTGAAAAATCAATTCGAGAAGTTATTTCAGATATACATATGTATGGAAGAGTTACCGAATAATTCGGTACCATCGAAGTTTGAAACATGCAATTTGATAAGTAGCTTCCTTTTGTGTGATAAGAATCCATTATGAAATGTGTTTTAGATATTTAGCCCTTAAGCGACTTGTTAATTTGATTTTAGAATTTTTTTTAAAATCTGATCATTTTAAGTAAATCAGCATTTGAATATTTTATAAAAAATGCATATTCTATCATTTTTCAAAATTCAGTTCCCACAGGGATGAAATAAGGGTTCAATTTTTCTTACGATAAAATAAAACTAAATGGAAGCTTAACAAAGCCGATTATTGTAAATTAGGTATAGTTTGATTTGCCTCGCCTTAACAAATTACTGAATACTTAAAACTGACAAAAGGAAACAAAATGATGGCCTCCAGACGCCATATTGTGTGTCAACAATATAATAAATGAAATAGAATAACTTATCAAATCGAGTATCAAATTAAAGGACAACTTTGAATATATAAGAATTATAAGTAAATATTTGTCTACGTACTTAATATTTAAAAAATTTATGATGAAAATTATAAATTGCGTTTAACTTTTTCATATATTTTATTCGGAAAATGAAGTTTAAAATGTGCCTACATGTGTGCATTTATTCGAATAATAACAATCGATTTGTNCATAGGAACCCACTATAAAATGTATTTTAGGTATTTAGCCCATAAGAGAAAAAAAGCGGAAGGTAAATTATTTTTAGAAATATTTTAAAATCTGACCATTTTAAGTAAATCAGCATTTAAATATTTTACCAAAAATAATAAATGCATATTCTATCATTTTTCAAAATTCAATTCCCATAGAGATGAAGTAGGAGTTCAATTTTTCTTATGAAAAAAATAAAATAAATGGAAACTTAACAGGCGATTATTGTAAATGAAATATAGTTTGATTTGCTTCGCATTAACAAATTACTAAATCCTTAAAACTGAGAAAAGGAAACAAAATGATGGCCTCCAGACGCCATATTGTGTGTCAACAAAACAGTATCAATCACCAAATCGAGTATCAAATTAAAGGACAATTTTGAAGATATAAGAATTATAAATAAGTATGTATATGTCTAGGTACTTCATATTTAAAAAATTTATGACGAAAATTCGAAATTGCGTTTAACTTTTTCATATATTTTATTCGGAAAATGAAGTTTAAAATGTGCCTACATGTGTGCATTTATTCGAATAATAACAATCGATTTGTTATTTTATTTTCGTATTCGGTGAAAGACATGGAAATTGGTAGATATTCTTTTGTGCTGTGCTTTAAAATGTGACCGAACGTGAACATAAATATGTATGTTTATTATGAATCGCGATAATCGTGACATATTTGAAGCAGATGTTCTAGTCAGGCCAAACGCGGAGTTTAATTACATCTGCAAAATGCCACTTGGAAACGCATTTTCTGTAAAAACAACATTTCAGTTTAAATAATTGAATCGGTGTGTTTCAAAATAGATATGTTTTATTCTTTTGTTTCTTTTTATTAGTAATCGAATTGTTTATTAGCATGTTTTGAAATCTAGATATCTGCCTGAGCAGGAACTGTTTTAAAGGTGTGAGAGAGGTAAAGAACCTTCACATTCAGGTAAAAAGTTAAATGAATGGAAAGTACAATTATGCATTACGTTCTAGCGTCGGTTGTAGGTATCGTGCGTAGTTTAGAATGTTTAGGTGACCTTAACGAAATTCGCAAGTACTGAATAATCACATACATAATTTTTTACTAGGTGATAAATAATAGAGAATAATTAATTATAAGTCCAAGTGAAATGAAATAGGTAGTTATTCAGTACAATTTTCAGTTATTGATTTTCTTATGTAGGTGATACAAAAAACAAATTTAATTTAAGTTCATTTACAATTAGCTTAACTTCCCATGCGTGAAAAATCTTAACTAGAATTGTACAGAGGAGGATGGAAAAAAGGGGCGGAAGAACTATTAGGGGAAGATCAATTTGGGTTCAGAAGAAATAGAGGAACGCAGGAAGTCATTCTAGCTTTACGGGTGACAATAGAGAAAACGATAGAAAAAGGAAAGAGTGCGTACATAGATTTGTAGATTTAGGAAAAGCTTTTGACAATGGTAAATGGGACAAGACGTTAAATATACTTAAAAATGTAGGGATGAGTTGTAAAGATAGAAGAGTGATACTTAGTTTGTATAAAGAGCAACAGGCAGTTATAGAGATGGGGCTGCAACGTAGAGAAGTAAATATTAGGAAAGGAGTCAGGCAGGGATTCACACTGTCACCGCTACTTTTTAATCTATACATCAAAGACGTGATTAACATCATTAAAGACAGTACAACTACACGGATAGATGTAGAGAGGCCAAAGATTAGTATGCTTAGATTTGCAGATGATATAGCAGTGTTAGCATCTAGCAAAGGAGGAGTTAGAGTTAGCTTTAAATAAAATGTAAACGGTATTAACAAAACAGTATTGTATGAAAATAAATAAAATTAAAACAAAAATACTGGTATGCAAGGGAAGAAGAAGTAGGGAAAGATAAGAGACGAAAAATAACAAGAAGTGGCTGATTTTCAGTAACCAGGAAGTCAGATAAGTCAGGACGGAAGGAGTAGTAGGAATATAAAACAGGATAGTTTAGAAATTCTAAAAAGATTGTTAAAGGTGTATGTTTGGAGCGCGATGCTGTACTGGTGTGAAACATGGACGGTGGGTGCGGCGGAAAAGAAAAGATTAGAAGCGTTGGAAGTGTGATGTTACCGGCTAATGATGAGGATAGAGAAGGTTAGAAAAGAATAGAAGAACAGAGGACTCTATGGAAGTCAATAAGAAATAGGCGAGATAGGTTGGTAGGACACCTCCTCAGATATGAAGGCCTATTCAAAAACATATTTGAGACAGAAACAGGAGTTAAGAGGAATAGAGGTAGACCTAGATTAGGAAAGAGTGGAGGTACGTGTCCAACCAGTCTTAGGACTGACGCCCTTATGATGTTGATGATGGAGTTCAATATTTTGTGTATGTTTTCTTCACTAATGGGGAATTAG